GCAACAGCAAGACAGACTGGTTTGGACACCCAATGGTTGCAATTTTGTTAGTTATGGAATTGTTGTACGGCTTCCATTAAAGCGGTAAAACAAAACTACAATTTTATCTCAGTCCACCAAAAATCTAAACAATCCTAAGAGCTTCTGGAAAACTATTAAATTTCTTGATGGCAGCACTCATTCATCTGACCTGCCACCACAAATATTTGTTGACTCTGCTCCTGTGTCAGATAAGTATGAGATGCTAAATTGTTTCAGCAAACATTTTGTAGTCTCCAGTTCCTTGTTTAATACAGTTTCTAAAGGTAAATCACCTACTCCACCAACAAGTCAAAGCTCAGTAAACCACACATTCGCTTTTTCACCATTCTCTGTCAGTGTGGTTACCAAACTGTTAAAAGATCTGGATACTAGAAAATCTGCAGGCCCTGATGACCTCCCTCCTTACTTCTCAAGTCTAGCTGCACAAATTATAGCAGAACTGGTGTCTTACATTTTCAGTCTGTCTATACAACATAATACTGTCCCAGATGCTTGGAAAACAGCTTTTGGGCTGCCATTATTGAAGGGAGGAGCCCCCACTATTTTGAACAATTATCGAGCAATCTCCAAACTCTGTATTTTAGCTAAGGTTTTAGAAAAATTGATAAATACTCAAGTCAAGAAGTATCTGGACTCTTAATATTTTATCTTCTGTCCAATCTGGCTTCAGGAAACAACACAGCACAATGACTGCTTCGCTAAAGGTTTTTAATGATATTGCTGAAGCTTTGGAAGCTAAGGATTACTGTGCTACACTTAGACCTGTCCAAAGCCTGCAGATTATGACATCTTACGCCACACGCTCTCAGATATTGGCTTCTCAGATCACACTGTTGGCTGGTTCTCAAACTATCTCTCAGGTCAGAGGCAATGCGTTTGACATAATAGTACTTCATCTAGCTACCTAATGGTCACCAATGATGTGCCACAAGACTCAGTTTTAGGTGAGTGTGTAGAGCTGGTCCAGTGTTCCTCGACCAGGACGAAAACCGCACTGCTCCTCCTGAATCCGAGGTTCGACTATCCGACTGACCCTCCTCTCCAGAACCCCCGAATAGACCTTACCGGGGAGGCTTAAGAGCGTGATCCCCCTGTAGTTGTAACACACTCTATGGTCCCCCTTTTTGCATAATGGGACCACCACCCCAGTCTGCCAATCCAGGGGAACTGCCCCCGATGTCCATGCAATATTGCAGAGTCATGTAAGCCAACACAACCCCACAACATCCAGAGCCTTAAAGAACTCGGGTCGAATCTCATCCACCTATGGGGCCCTGCCACCGAGGAGCTTTTTAACCACCTCGGTGATCTCAGCTCCAGAAACAAAGAAACAAACTCACCATTTCCCACTTTTAGAATACACAGTCAGCTAAAGTTTTCTTCACATACAAATATATATAAAAGTTGAGAGGCATATTGGTCAGAATTGGCAACATAGGCATTAGATAAAAGGCTTTCAGTGGCTTACAACCTACCTGCAGCATCTAGCCTGGTTGTGAGTGTCATTGCACGATCTGGTCCAGGACTAAAAAAAAAAAATTGTTCCGATACTAGAAGCACAATCGGTAGGTACCCTTCTACTGTGCACTCGAGCACAGGAGAGGTGCGCCCAGAATCTCCCTATGTCTTGTAATGAAGAGGAGCTAACTGTAAGGATGTTACTTTTCTGTGGCCCGGTGTGTCTGTTTCCCTCGTGCTCCCTCATTAGTTTCCATTGTTGCCACCTGTGTCTCGTCCCAGCTGTTTGTTATCATGTCTCGTCTTCTCCCTGTATTTAAGTCATCCTATTCTGTCTTGTTCTTCGTCGGGTCGTCTTCGTTGGGTACGCTTCCTTGGGTCTCCTGAGTCTCTCCTTGTCTTCCTGGTCCCTCGAGTTCCCCGTGTCTCCTGAGTTCCCCGTGCCTCCTTCCTTGTTTATGTAA